TCAAACGTCCCCACCACCACATTCCCCGTATAAAACGCATCCACAACCCCCGCATCCCCTCCCTCCTCCGCCCTCCTCATCCTCTCCGCAAGTAACACATCGCGTTCCTCCGCGCCTGCTCCCTCGGGGGCTGATAAATCCTGCATCTCCATCTCCACCCCCATCTCCCCGCCCTGCGTGCCTGTACCCATCTCCAAATCCCCAGCACCCCGCTCCGCACCATCGACCCCGGTGCCGCCTGCAGCTATATAAGCAGTCATCCCATCGCGATTCGCCAGCGCAGCTTTCAGCACCGCTTCTTCAACATGCACAGACAGCATCACAAGCTGCAGTAGCAGTATCAGGATATCCAACCCCACCAACACAGCTTTTGTAGACGGCGCGCGCTGCCCGATGAAATCGACTATTATCCCCCCATGTAGATACCCCCGCGTGAGCTCCGACCCGGACGGGCGCGCGGTGACGAGGTGCAGGAAGGCGCAGAGGGTGTTTGTGGAGAGGAGGGCGGGGATGTAGGGGCTTGGGCCGGGGATGGGGGGGGGCTTGGCGGCGGGGGAGAGGAAGACGAGTTGGGTTATTGAGCGGAGGAGGAAGCGGAAGAGGGAGCAGCTGGGGAGTGGGTTAGCGTGTGCTTGATTGATTGAGGGAGGGAGGAAGTGGGGGTGGACGTACTCGTTGTAATACATGAAGCAGAGCTCGGCGTAGATTAACACGTCTAGATTGACGAGGATGTCGTGGATGAACTCGGCTTTCTTCTTCGTCTGGATGAAGATTCGGCGCCGTCGCCGGGCGGCGGGGCTGTTATCATCGATTCCTGCTACAGCTGGAGGTGGTGTAGCTGCTGGAGTTGTTGCTGGAGTTGCTGCGGCGGCGTCGTTGCTGGGAGGTAGTTGAGGGTCTGCCGGACCCGCGTCGGGAGCGGATGCGGATTCATCGTTCATTGCTCGCGCAAGTCATTGGGTGATATCTTTGTTGTAGTATTTTCGGCAGAGGTCATAGATATCACATGGCTGTTCGTGGTGAGTTGTTACCAGTAATCCTGCCTCGTGGCAGCTGTTGGAAGGTTGAGGTCCAGGTGGTTACCGTTAGGTTAGACTACCACAGATTATTGCCCAGAGCTGCTGCCTCGCGCACAAGGGTGTGGCGGTCAAGGGTGCGTTAAGTGCTCGGGCGCGCTAATTCTCCACGTCGCGTCTCCCCAACTTGACGACTGCGAATTTGATGTAGACGCGCAAGTATACCTGGTAACTCACGATTCAACATTGGAAAACTTCGACGGAATATTGAAGGAATAGGGCTGAAATGGCAGGGTTTTTCGATCTCAAGGCGCGCAAGAAGGAGGCGGAGGCAGAGGCCTTGGGTGACAAGAAGGGCGCTCCCAATGGGAAGGACAATACACGGCTGCAGCCATGGGTTGAGAAATAGTAAGATTTTGCTATTAATATGATGCTTTATTCAAGTTCAAAGCTGACATTACTTCCCTTCAGCCGCCCAAAGAGTCTCGCCGATGTGACAGCTCAAGACCACACCATCACCGTCCTCCAACGCACCCTCCCAATCCTCCAACGTCAGTCCCTCCCACCTCCACATTGTCCCCCTCTCTCAATACACCTACTAACCCCCACCAGCTCCCCCACATGCTCTACTACGGACCCCCCGGCACCGGCAAAACTCCACCATCCTCGCCCTCTCCGCTCCCTCTACGGCCCGCCCTCTTCCATTCCCGCGTCCTCGAGCTCAACGCCTCCGACGAGCGCGGCATCAGCATCGTGCGCAAGAAAGTCAAAGACTTCGCACGCATGCAGCTCTCCCGACCCCCCGGCGGCAACTACCAAGAGCAGTATCTCTGCCCCCCCTACAAAATCATCATCCTCGACGAGGCCGACAGCATGACGCAAGACGCGCAGAGCGCGCTGCGCCGGACGATGGAGACGTACAGCAAGATCACGCGTTTCTGCCTGGTGTGTAACTATGTTACGCGGATTATTGATCCCCTGGCGAGTCGGTGCAGTAAGTTCCGCTTTAAGCGGATGGGAGAGGGGCAGGCGGGGACGAGGCTGAGGGAGATTGCGGAGAAGGAGAAGGTGCCGATGGGAGGAGGGGTGGTAGAGGCGCTGATTAAGCACTCGGAGGGGGATTTGAGGAAGGCGATTACGTTTTTGCAGAGTGCGGCGAGGTTGGTGGGGGCGGCGGGGGCGGATGGGGGGGAGGAGGTGGAGGAGGATGCGATGGATGTTGATGGGGTGCAGAAGGTTGTTACGGTTAAATCGATTGAGGATATTGCGGGTGTGATTCCGGATCGGACTATTGACAGTCTGGTGAAGGCTATGCAGCCGTCGTCGAGTGGGCTGACCTACGAGAATATCTCGAAGGTGGTTACGGAGATGGTGGCCGATGGCTGGAGTGCCTCGCAAGTTGTTACACAGGTATGCATCCCCCCTGGCTGTGCATTTAGGAGAGAATATACTGACGGCAGATAAAGCTCTACCAGACGATCATCTACAACGAATCTATCGCCGACATCCACAAGAACAAAATAGTTATGATCTTCTCCGAGATCGACAAGCGCCTCGCGGACGGCGCAGACGAGCATTTATCCATCCTCGACATGGCATTGCGTATAGCCGGGGTGCTGACAAGTAAGGCATAATTTGTTACGCTCGCTTTCGGTTGGGCAAAGCTGGTAATTTATGATCAAGGCCTGAACAAGGGGGGAATTGCATAGCTCTGGAGTTGCGGGGTAAAAACAGAACAGGCGTACGGAAATGATCAACACTTATGAACAAGATCTATGAGCTTTGAGAACATATGAAATTCAGTCTGTAGGTGTAAATAACATCCCTTATTATCAAAATATAACCAAAAACTTCCATATCCTAGGGTTGTAGTTGTACAGATTGCGGGAAATAAATGAAAAATGTTGCCAAACCAAACAGCCTCCAACACACCACCAACCACACCTTTCCTAACCAATTTTCAGCTTCCTTTACACCCTCACCAGCTCACCCAACCTCTTCTCAATCTTCTCCCTCCCCTCAAGCGTCTCCCACACCTCATGCGGCGCCTTATTCACAATATCCCACCCCACCAACTCCCTCGTCAAATGAGTCAAATCCCTCTGCTTCTCCTCCCACACGCTATCCCTCTTCGACTCAATCCCCGAACTCACAATCGCCACCGGCGTATCTTCCTCCTGAACCACCCTCGAAATCGTAACCTCATTCCTCGTCAAGCTATCCGCCACCAGCGACTCCTGCAGCTTCGCCTTGATGGACTTCCCGCCCTGGTACGCGGACCACCCGTACACCCTGTCCTCGCGGCTACGGCCACGGAAGATCGCGCCGGAGAGACGGTCAATACCAAGGGGGGAGAGGATGCCGCGCAGCCAGAGGAAGAAGCCGCGGTGGGGCGAGGCGAGGCGGTGGAGGAGGTCTTCGTGCAGGGGGTCGATGAGTAGGAGGCCCATGACGTCTTTGCCGTGGCGGGCGGAGAAGATGCGCGAGTACACGCTTCCCACGCCTGCGCTGGCTAGAACCCATGGTCCCTCCTCGCCTGCGCGTGCAAGAGCTTCGGATAGAACGTCAGCGGCCATACCGGCGGAGAATGGTGAGGGCGCGTTATCGGACCAGCCGAAACCGGGGCGGTCGGCGTAGCAGTAGCGGGATATCGTGCCGTTGGCAATGGCGTTGTCAGCGAAAGTTTGCAAGGATAGTCCGAATGGGCGTTCTCCGGCTTCGAAGAGCACGGTTGGGACCTTGTTGTCTGACTTGTCGGTCTCGTTGCCTTTGCAGTAGAGATGGATTTGGTATTTGTCACCGTCGACGTAGTAGCGCTCTCCCTGTGGTGCCAGAGAAGAGTCGCGGCTGCGGAGGATGAGAGTTGCGGAAAGGAGAAGAACAGCAAGGCCGACGGCTATGAGAACGATTTCGGATGCCAGGATCTCTACCCACTCGCGGATGGTGCGGCGGGTCTCAGCGCGCCCTGTGAGACGTTCTTCTTCTCTTCCTTGCCGTATGCCACGACACGGTCTGTTATGACGACCCAGATGCCGATAAGGAGGGCCCATACAACACTAGCAATGCCAACCCAGCCTTCCTCAACACGGAGGCGAGGCACGGCAAGGATCATGATCATGTCGAAGAGAAGGAGAACGGATGTGACAAGAACGGTAATCTGAGCCGCCTTCGACGGAGTCGAGAAGAATAGGAGGACGATGATCAGGTTTGCCAGCGATAGACTTGTAAATGAGAAGTCGAAGAAGCCGGAACCGCGAGAGTGCATGCCCGGCGGACTGACGAAGATGCTGACGAGGAGCAGAACCCACCAGAAGAAGGTGATGAACTGCAATATATGTTAGTATATGTGATAATATCTGGGTCGAGGGCCGTACCAAGAGCAGGATGGAGAAGTAGCGCATGAACCGCACGCTCCAGAGATTGTATGGCGAGACCTGGGGGATAGTGTTAGTAATGTTATACTGAAGCATTGAGCATCTCAGAACTTACAGCAGGGTTCATCTGGACTCAAATATCCACCCCGAGTCGAAGGCTGCGGTAATAGACGTGTATGCTCATCAGGCTCGCGCTCGACAATGCGAGGTGCGCCTTCATTGTCTTCATCGTTTCCGCCGCGAGGCGGCTCGGTGCGCTCACCACCAAGACCTTGTATTCCAAATAGAACTCATCTTAAATCCAATTGAAGGCTATGGCTTCTTGGAATTGAGTCGCTTCGGATAGATAGGCCTCCAAAGGGAGTTAATATAATACTACAACGAAACTTGTTGATGTGATATTAGTTTCGCTTTATGTCATGAGGTATTACAAACAGCAGCGAATATAAAAGTTGAAGAATGACGGTTTCAAAGATTCAATAGAGAAGCATTATATTCGAAACAAATCAAGATTTTGATTTAAAGCCTAGCCTTTGGCCTTTTGGGAAGCTATTGCGAATCTGTATAACTTCTGACGTCACCATCTCTCAGCGTTCATCAAGTCAGTTTGGGGACTATTGGGGTCTCCCAAATAGGCAGAAAGGGACAGTTTTTAATAAAATAGCTGTGCAATTAAAGCAAAATTATAGTATCTCAGTATATGGCCACGGCACGGCACCTTACCATGCATGATAAGGTTTTGGTGGCTTTTATTAAATCCCATGTAGCAATTCTGAATTCCGATCCATTTCTTGAATTACGTCATATTGAATTTCCATGTGCAAGACGAACGCGTTATCGATATAGTAGTGTTATCGATAAGCCCGATAAACCATTGCTTAGCTCACGTGCCCCGCCAAAAGCAACTCCCAATGTGTGCTTTGGGTGGAATCACTCTACGATGCATCTTATATTGTTATAAAATTATATTTCCGAATGCTCAAAGTAACAAAAGTAGATTATATTGAGCGGCGCAAATGTCTAATTAGATAGGACTCACCTCCATGATCCCGCCATCAGTATGAGCGAACTACAACGGGCCTTCGCAAAGGCGAAATTAGTAGGGCTCCCACCCGTTCTCCCAGAGCCACTCGTCGATCTAGACGAGCAGGAGGAAGAACGAGATGCGTTCCCCGAGCTTTCAACAGAGCGGTCAGATGATGACTCTTCATCTGCGTCCTCTGCTTCTTCGGCGTCCTCCACTGGCACTATAAGACCGACGAGTAGCAGTAGGCTGTTTGCACGTTCAATGGGGTGACATTTGATTCTTTATCCTGCAATAAACAGCAGCTGACCGTAGACAGATCACCAACTAGGTCGCCAGCTCACTTTGCCCCTCTACCCTGGACCTCATACTTTGAGCGAGACCTGAAGCTATCACATATAGACTTCAACCTCAAAGTAACGCACCAGGTTTACCTTACCTCACCACTATCCTCTCCCACCAAACCTGGGCCTCTATTTGTGACCCACCATGGCGCAGGCTCGAGTGGACTTACGTTTGCGACGCTCGCAAAGTCTATCCGGGCTCTCCTCCCAAATGCTGGAATTCTGAGCCTGGATGCTAGAGGCCATGGCTCAACTACTGTTGAGACGCTTTCTGAGACGGATCCGATGGATGGAATACTTGACGTTAGCCTAGAGACATTGACGGACGATCTTATCACTGTCATACAAAAAACAAAAGAGGTCATGAATTGGCCAACCATGCCGCCCATAATTCTCATCGGTCATTCCCTAGGTGGCAGCGTTGTCACATCAGTGGCTGCAAGAGGCACCCTTGGGTCTTCCCTGCTCTGCTATGCCGTTTTGGATATCGTCGAGCGCACGGCAATTGAATCACTAGCCAGCATGGCCGGCTACCTCAAAAGCCGCCCTGCGACATTTCCAAGCCTGGAGGCAGGCATCGCGTGGCACGTCAGAACCGGCAGTTTAAAAAACGTCGAAAGCGCCAGGGTTTCCGTACCTCCGCTACTCACGCTTCTGTACAACAAACCAAAAGATGACGCGAACTCTACAGCCGCTAGACAAATATTCAACTGGCGTGCTGATCTTGCCAGCACGGAACCGTTCTGGAACGACTGGTTCGTAGGCCTCTCTGACCGCTTCCTCTCGTCAAGGGGCGGCAAACTACTTATTCTAGCGGGAACAGAAAGGCTAGACAAGGAGATGATGATTGGGCAAATGCAGGGCAAATACGCCCTGCAGATATTCCCAGATGCGGGCCACTTTCTACACGAGGACCAGCCAGAGAAGACGGCACAGAGTATCGTGGATTTCTACAAGCGGAATGACCGGAGCGCGATGGTGTTGCCGCCGAAGGTGTCAGACATGTTGCAGCAGGGTAAAAAGGTATAGATGTACATAGGACGACTTATGACATTACGAAACCGGGAACGACACAAAATCATGGATTGGGCTTGTACATGGTTCTAGGTGCATATAGGCTTTGTTGATTCTAGACTACCAAGAGACTACAATTCATCCTTCCTCTTCTGCTCCGCTTCTGCTTCCTTCCTCGCCTCCACCTCCGAATCCCACATCCGTTTCTTCGGGTTTGGTTGCACCTGCTCCTCTTGTTGCTGGCCTTCATTACTCTCTGGTTGCGCCGGCTCCTGCGGCTGCTCCTGTCCCTGTGCTCTCGTGTCCTCCGCCATCTCCCCCACAATATCTACAAGCGGCCTGCCTTCGTCATCCTCTTGTGGAGGCTTTGGAGGTTTCGCGTTCCCCCTACCCCCTCTGACAACCTGCGGCGCATCCGTCCCGCTCATCGTAACCTGCGCCACCGTCCCACTCGCCGGCATAATCATCGTGCCCACACTCTGACTCGACACCGACACCGTCGAGCTCGCGCCCCTCAACCCAAGCACAGTAAACACCCCCATCCACGCATTCCAAAACATCTTCAGCGGCAAATACACCAGCCACCACGCCGGTCCGTAAATAAACCGCCGGAAGACCAACCACGAAATAGTCGCCAACAGCACATAAAACGCTGTCTCGAGGTACCACGTATCGCTCTTCTGGCTCTTAAGCAGCATGCCCAGCAGCCCCTTCGTGCTCGCCAACACGCTATCCAAACTCGTATAACTCTCGCCCAGCTGCTCCAGCGCTGCGCCGCTCTCCTTCAGCGTATCGTGCGCGAACTGGCTGCGGGAGAGCTCATTCGTCATCGAGGCGTGGACCTGGCGCAGCGCGGCTGTGACGTCCCCTGCGGACCCGACGAGCTTCTCATCTTGTGTCTGCTCGGCAGCAGGTGTGCGGCGGCGGGAAATAGGTTGGTTGCAGGAGGGCGAAGGGAGGGCGGCTAGGGATTGCAGGAGGAGTTCGCGCTCGGCGCGACGGGAGAGATCGAGGTTGCGTTTTGCAGCTAGTTGGGCCTTGCGGAAGGCGGATTGGGCGCTGGGGATTGTTAGAATGGTTCTTTGGGTTGGGGATATAAGGTGGACTGACTGCTTCAGCTCTTGTTGGGTTCTTGTGGCTCGTTCAAGTAGGCGTAGTTTGTTGGTCTCGGCATCGCTTCCTTTCCTGCCGCCGGGCGAGTCTTTAATCTCTTGCTCTAGAAGCTTGAAATCATTGTTTTGCTCTTTGAGGGTGTCGTGGATCTCGTTGCTCAGCTCGGTCGCGACAGTGTCTAGAGACCCTTGGTTAAGAGGTATTGCGCCTGGTGGGAACTTGAAGGAGGCAAGCCGGGCTATCAGCGTTTGGATGTGGGAGGTTGTTTCTTGGAGGGTGGTAAGGCGTTTTTGTAAAGATTCGAGAGACATTTTGCAGCCTGTAGGTAAGAAAATAGGTTGCTTGTAAAGAGTTGTAGGGAATTGAAGCGGGGATAATGAATCTATTTATGATAAAGCTGGCAAGAGGTGCCGACTGACGACACTGACACATCGCGAAGCGGAATATCCCGTGACCATGGGGTAAATTTCGAAGACCTCCAAAGAGCCACCTGTCTACCACGACAGAAACTCCCAAGCTAAACAACTCCGGATACTTCGCTTTTCTAGGTATGTCAATTGGCTGGCTGCTGGTCCTTGTGCTATTACTGACGGATTACCCAAGTCGCGCGCGCGACTCAGCGAAGATGATCACCAGATACCTCACGGAGATTTCGACGGCGTTCAACCCGTTCTCTCCACGGGCGAAGACTGCAAGACTATTCCTCTCATTCTTGCCCGGAAATGCGCGCGCAACCATGAAGATCAATACGAAGATTCTGCCGAGGACGTCCAGGGAGAAGAGCTTTGTCCAGGTCAAATTCAGTATGTCCACACCTTAGGCGTCAACCACTCCTATGCGCACAGGATAGGAAAACAAAGGCGCATATGCAATAAAACGAGTACTAATATTATGGCAGAGGATGGAAAGGAGATGAAACTCGATTCCGAGCAGCTTGGCATCAAGGGCGTGATGGAGGAGTTGGATAGGCATTCCAGGATATTGGCCAGACAGGAGGAATTGACGGGCAACTAAGATGGGAGAGGGTCTGATTGCGTGGCTTGCAAGAACTAGATGGCGTTTTGGAAATGCATAGGGCGGGCTGTATGATCTATGTGTATAAACAGAGGATACTGGAATATCGATGTATAACTCCATCCCATGAAACGCATTCGACTTGATTGAACACCACATCTATACAGAGAAGTTATTGACATTATTGTTAATTGTTCATTCAGTTATAGTATCAAGCTATTTTCCTGCCCACGTTACCAATCCCAACGCCCTTGACACTGACCAGAATATCACCACTCTCATCCTCATCCACATCTCTTAAGCCCCAAGCACTTGCTCCGAACTTCCTGAGATCCCTCCCCAAACCAAGTATATCCTCCGTCCCTATAACATCCCGCCCAATCCGTAAGCGCCCAACATCCTCTGATCCCATTGACATTAACGTCAGTATCGTTGCCGCGCCTGCCTTGGCAACACATCCACCTTGTGCAATAGTTTCCAACAGCTGCAATGCAGCCTGCTTCCCAATATCCTCAGGCGTGACACCTCCCTGTGGCGGCGCTGCCACATCCGCACTATACAAAACACCTCCCGAACTCGACTCCGCAACCAGACTCAGACCAAAACCGATGCCCGTTCGCTTCTTTCCCTTTGGATCCGCCTTATCATTGCTGCTCACTAGCGGCGCCTGATCGTACTGTGCCGCAATATGCACATCGCTGACCAGTGGATTTAACACTCCCCTCGCCGCGTGTATCATCCTCGCATTATTGCTCGCCGAAACACCCGTACAATACGACACACCACGAATGCGCTTTATCCTCCCAGGATTCCTGTTCAGATGTAACGTCTTCGGCAGACGCACCTGCGACCCAAAGCGCAGCTCCACGATACCACCGCCTCCAAGGCCTCCTGGCCCCGCGCAAGAACGCTGCAACACACGCAGTTCAAGTTTCGCCGACATAATGCCGAACTGTTCGTATAGCGGGAGAATCGCAGTGCGCACGCTGTCGACGCTGATATCGCCTGCCTCCGTCGAGCTAGTGATCACACCCGGGCCGGTAAATCGTACATTGATTGGCGCCTTGCTGAATGGCGCGAGCATGCATAGCGGCAAGAGGAAGTAGCTCACTCCGCGCGTGTTGGTTGCTGGGAGCGAATACTCGATGACATCTCCATGTGCGCCGAGACCTGCGACTGAGCCAGTGATGAGGCCAGGGTTGTAGGTAAGTGTCGTACCTGTATACGAGATCTGGAGCGAAGAGCCATTGGTGATAGCTTCGAGGAGACGGATGAAGGAGATTTCGTGGGAGGCAAGACCGGGAGAGACGGCGGATGAGGAGCGGATTTGAGAGATGTGAACTGGGCGACCAGTGAGGGTAGAGAGGACGAGGCGGTGGGTGAGTGCTTTTTGTGACGTGAAGCGTAAATATTCAGTCGGTTGGACTGACATTGTGCTGGCGGCGGCTATGGTGCCATGCAACACGATTGATGAAGAAGTGGCGTTAAAGTTATAGTGAGCTTTTTGGTTTTTGGCGTAGACTCGAGGTTAAACTTTTTCTGTTGGCCAGCGGCAGAATAATGAACTTCGCTTCACCGCCTCGCAATCAGGATCATTATCCAATTACAACAGAGGTCTTGGAATTTACGACAGTACTCCGCATCTCGCTCCGAAAACATATTTGCAACGAGCATTTTGAGGAATGTAGTGGTAGAATCTCCATAATAGAATGAATGCTATTGAGGACTAAAGTCGAGAAGAACAGTTATTCTTTTGACTATGAAAGCCGAAGCTGTTAATTCTGCCATGAGAAACCCCAATTCTTATTTATGCAGTGTAAGAGGATTGCACCAGCACAAAGATGCTTAAAATCAGATTATATGAATATCTTATACATACGACCATAGTATAGACTTGAGAGAATTAAGCATCCCGTCCGCTCTTATACATACGATCATAGTATAGACTTGAGAGAACTAAGCATCCCGTCCACTCTTCCACACACAAGCTGCTGATTTATTGCTTATTATAGTACTCTCAATCGTGCTAATAGGCATAGCGTGGATTCGTAGCGCCTTGCCGTCACAAAGCTAGCTTACTAAGCCCATTAAACATGAGCTTCGTGACTTCTATTTTATCACAACTAAGCCAATTGCATAGCAGAATGCAAGAGCTCAAGATGAGACTACTATTTAGAATTGGAATCGATCTTTTGATTAAAATGCGTATAGAGTTGTAGTTGTCTTTATACAAAGTTTAAAGTCTAGTTCTTTCTAACACATCTAGTATCGCATTTAGTAAGCAATCGATTTGCTATATCTTTAACAGCACGTTAAGGAGGAAATGCTTGTGGATCTAGGTTAAGAATATGTTATACAACAACTTCTTCTTCTAATATTGTCAATTTTTGAGATTTAACTAAAGTTGTATAGGGAGTTTAGATTATGCTTTATAAAATATAAAACCCAAAAACACTAGAAAATAATAAAAATTAAAGGGGAACCCTCTTAGGGGTTCTCTGAACCAAACAACAATTTTTTATGCAATTGAATGTTGTGACTTGTAACTCTGTAATTGTGCATGTTCGAAGTTTGGAGCAGGTTCCCAGGTGTTTTCTAGTTCTGAAAACCCAAGCCATTTAACAAGGTATCTAGTTCGATTTCCAGTTCCTTTATGTCTTTGGATAGCTTCGACTTCCCATTGATGTTCTCCTTCTACCTCTACAGGTGAAGGTTCTTGTGTAATGGTGGGTGCACCAGATGTGGGAATCTAGCCACCCAAGGAAGGGATGATTTTACTAAGACAACACACTGTCTTAGGAAACAGAGCCAAAGGGTCGTAGCTTAGACTATTCCACAATGCAGCAATCAGGTGTATGATGTAGTGGAGTGGTTTAGACAAGTTGTAACAAATGTTGAGTCTGAGAACTCAGGGATAAGTCAGAGGTTAGCACCTCACTGAATTTTCAGAAACAAGGAGTAACAAGATCAATGCTTGGAAGCTTGGAAAAGACGTGGAAGTATGTGATAGTCGATTTACTGTATTGTCTGCTTGCCCTTTCTTAAGGAAAGGGCAATCCTATTTATGCTAAAGGAGTGTAGTTCTCTCATTTTCCAAGACTTTCCATGACTTACCAGGCTTGGTAACTGTAGTCGACGTAAGAGAATCCCATAGAACCATCTCTTAGGTTCGTAGCCTATAGGAAGTAAAAGGAGGTCCAAGTTCAGAGTACCCCTATAGACAAATTATGTCATAGACAAATTATGTCATAACTTAACCAATCTTGTGGGTAACTAAAGAGCGATGACGTGTAATGAATCATAGAGGTTCGTAGGAGCTTTTAGAGCTATCGTTCATGCTCCTAGGCCTCTAGTTGGTAGAGATATGTCATGTGGTACTATGAGTGATGTCATGTAATGAATCATAGAGGGTTGTAGAGATATGCTATGTGGTAATATCGGCCCAGTAACTAAGGAGCGATGACGTGTAATGAATCATAGATGGTTGTAGCAATCGTTGAGTAGTATTGCTCTTGTTGTTGGTGTGATAAGCCAAAATATGTATAGTGACTTGTAGGTTTGAGGAGGAGATTTCCAAGTTTGCTCTTGAGTTTGATAGCAAACTGAGTGCAACGAATGTCAGTATGACATGATACCCCTCTTAAGGACGTTTGTTAGCTGTGTGCTTGCCCTTTAGCCAGGTGGCTTTCTTAGAAAGAAATTCTAGAATCAGCTTGGATGCATTTTTTAGATTTCTCTTAGGTTCCCAAGTGTTGTCACTGGTAGGATAGCCTTTCCACTTAACGAGGAAGTAGTCCTGACCTCTAAGTGTCTTTTTGTCAAGGATAGACTCTACTTCATATTCTGGTTGATCCAAAATCAGAACAGGAGGTGGAGGAGACTGAAGTGGTCTTAAGGAACTTTCTTGTGCCTTAGACAAGAGAGATGCATGGAAGACATTATGGATAGTCCAAGTAGGTGGTAATGCAAGCTCGAAAGCATTCTTGCCAATAGTCCTTGTGATCTTAAAGGGTCCAAGTCTTTTAGTATCAAGTTTGTCTGATGGTCTAGTAGTTGTGATATGTCTTCTAGACAAAAAGACTTGATCACCAACTTTGAATTGTGGTGCAACTACCCCCCTGTTAAAGGCCTGAGCCTGCTCGTCTTGTGCACGCTGTATTTGGACCTTGAGATAGTCCTGGAGGCCCTTAAGGTAGATGGTTCTTTCAGTAGCAGAAGGGTTTTTGAGATTTTCAGGACAATTAAGTTCTGCCACTTCAAACCTAGGGTGATAACCATAGTTTGCATAGAAAGGTGTCTCTTTTGTGGTGTTAGAGACCGTGTTGTTGTAAGCAAATTCTGCAAGATGGAGAAGATCTGCCCAGTTGTCTTGAGCATAGTTTGTATAAATTCTTAGAT